CGCGTCTCCGGTGCGTGGCCCCCCTCACGGACGGCGGCGCCGCCGGCACCTGGAGGGGGGAAACTGCCGTGTAGGGTCTACACAGAGTGGATGTAGCTGTGGGTTTGGCCCGGATGTTTCTCCCTTGTGTCCCTCTGGGCCGACCTGACACAACCGGGTGGAGAGGTCCACTGGTCAAAGCCCGTTCATGGGAAGTCAAAGGGCTAGATCTCGTGGTCAAGCGCTCCAGGGTTAGGCAGGATGGGGGCCCTGGGGGGTAGCAATGCCACCGGAGCGTCGTACCGGGCCCTCGTACATGCGGGGTGGTGGTGTGGCATGTCCGACGGCCTCCGTGGGCTAGCATGCCGCCAATCTTGCGCACGCGGCTTCTCACAAGTTTGAAAGTGTTGTGGCATGTCCGAAGAGGTGACACGCATCTCCGGAGCGTGGCCCCCCTAACTGACGGCGCCACCAGCGGCACCTGGAGGGGCGAAACGGACGCGCCGGGTCTACATGGAGGGGATGTAGTTGTGGGTTTGGCCCGGATGTTGCTCCCCGGTGTCCCTCTGGGCCGACCTGACACAACCGGGTGGAGAGGTCCACTGGTCAAAGCCCGTCCGTGGAAAGTCAAAGGGTTAGATCTCGTGGTCAACCGCTCCAGGGTTAGGCGGGATGGGGGCCCTAGGGGGGTAGCAATGCCACCGGAGCAACGGGCAACACACTTCCTTCACAAAACTGGGCATGTTCTCTCTCGGTAGCTAGATACTACCTCGGAAATGTTGCAGTTTACAAGAGGCCTTCAGTTAGGCTTCTGCGAAATGCACTCAAACTTTTAACCTACAAGGGCCACATGACGCCACCGTGCTAGGTCTCGAGGATTTCCGGCAAAGTATGATTTTTTGTGGATTTTAACGGCTAGATCCGGCATGTTGCTGAGGCACATTCACCCTTCGGGGGTGGGGCCTGCCCCTCCTTTGGTTGCACTAGGCCTACACATACAGCAAAGACATCATATATGATTTGACAAACCACTTCTGGACATCATTTCAGGTGGTCGCCATGCAGATCTGTAACTTCCCGCATTGAAACCCTACAAATGCAATAAATGTCTCAAATATTGCAGGCGGCCCCGAAAAATGCCATGTCCTGCCACGTGTCATGCGATGGCCCCCTTTGAGATCACAAGAAGTATCGAGGTCAACGGAGAAACGGGCAACACACTTCCTTCACAAATCGGACAAGTTCTCTCTCTATAGCCATATACTACCTCGGAGATCGTGTAGTTTACAAGCGGCCTCCGGCCAGGCTTCTACGAAACACGCTCAAACTTTTCCCACACATTACAAGGGCCATATGATGACACCGTGCCAGGTCCCGAGGATTTCTGGCGTCATATGATTTCCCGTGGATTTTAACGGCCAGATCCGGCATGCCGCCGAGGTACATACACCCCCGGGTGGTGGGTCCTGCCCATCCTTTGGTTGCACTAGGCCTACACGTACCGTGAATACATCATACATGGTTCTACAAACCACTCCTGGACATCATTTCAGGTGCTCGCATTACAAGCGGCCTCCGGTCAGGCTTCTCCCGAACGCGCTAAAACTTTACCACACCCTACCGTGGCGGGCTCGGCCCGGTCGGGAAGCATGGGAAGGAGCGAGCCGTTTAGACCGATGCCCTTCTCCAAAATTGTTAAGTGTTTACTCGGAATAAGAGGAGAAAATACAATTGCAATAGCTTAAATCTCATTGGTGGAACCAGTTGTGGCATGGATTGATGACATGGCTCACATCTATCCATCCATCTCTCCACGCCACACGCCACATCCACCCATCTAAAGAAAAGGAGGAAAAAAAGAAAAAGAAAAACAAGACAGAAACCCACCGCACGCCTCCCCCTCTCCCTCTCTCGCTCGTCTCTCCCTGCTCCCTCCCCCCACCCACGAAACCATCGCCGCTGCTGTCTACGCCGCTCGATTCCGGCGTGTTCCGGCGGCCCTCGCCGGCGCGCCGCACAGATCCGTGCTCCCCTGCCGCCTCTCTTCCCTTCCTTCCATCCAGATCCGCTTTTGGCGGCCCCGAGAGCTCACCCACGACCCCTCCCCATGGCTAGGGTTTCGAGGGTGGCGTCCCCTCCAACTCCGGCGTGTCGCTGGCGACTCTGCTCCACCATCTTCGACGTCCACCGCAAGTCCCACGGGCGGCTCCGCCTCGTGGTCGGTGCTCCTGCACCCGGTGGCTGTGGGGCGGACGCACGCGGCGGGTAAACTCCAGCGAGACGGCGGCCCCCTCCACGGCGTTGCGGCGGTGCACTGCATCGGCTAAAGCATCCCCATGGTGAGCCCCTCTGCACTCCTCTGTTCCCCCCTTTTCCTTGTATAATGATGCTTCACATTGCTTGATATGAATGTGATTTTGATCAATCTTCACTTCCGCCTAGCTAGCTAAAAGAAACGTGTGTTTGTTTATGTATGCTATAACAAATCACGTACGTGTATGCTAGCTAAAAGAAGCAACCAAGCTAGTAGCTTAATTGATATACAGGAAACTAGCTAGATGTGCCTCTCTAACAATGTGTTCATCAGGATGCTCTCAGGTATCGTTTGAGTGCGCTAATTAGTTCGGCCAGCCTCTATGATTTATTCTGATAGTTGCTGGAGTACTTCTATTTGTGAAAAATTCGACGCAACAAAAAAATGTTAATCAGTCTGCTCTCTCAAAGTCAAGTTTGGGCTGCTGCATATGAATGGATTTTTTTTCTCAATTTGGGAGCTAGGTACTGGTGGAGTTTGGTGTATCCATAGTCCGCTCTCTCAAATGTTAATCAGCCTCTGTGATTTTTTTCTCAGTTCTAGAGATGCAGGGAGGGAGGGACGTCCATGGATTGGACTGCAAGGATTAGATGCAAACCAATGCACATGAGGAGGAGAGATGCAAGCCATGCCATGACCTGAAGGTCCCTGCCGTGAACCCCTTCCCCTTCACGTGTATAATCATGCTCAACATATGATTTTTCTAATCTTCAATTCAGCCTAGCTAGCTGTTGTAGTACTTTCTTGTCTCCTTCCAAATGTTGCCCCAGTCCGTTGAGCTTCTCATTGCTCCAAGTAGTACTGCTATTTTTCTGCTCTGCAATTTTATGTGCATGGTTCCAGGCTCCCAGTCTACCACTTTTGTTGCTGTGATGTCGAGCTCTGCTTTCTTTATTATCACGAGTTGCAAAATTAGTAGGAACTAAACTTTTGTTAACTTATTGGCTGAACCAATGGAACTACTGTTATATTTGATTTGTCGCTCAACTAGTTCTGCAATGATTGGATCGAATGATGGCATGATCCTACTGTTATCATTGCAATTATCTTGGTCTTATAGATGTTATTGTTCCCGTCATATAGCACATGCTACTTTCTTTATTAGTTGGCTGATGATTCTATTTGTTCATATGTACAAGTGCTAATGTTTCTTTGTTATCTTATAAAGGATATAGTCCTTCATTTGTATATAGCTGTAACTCTCTTATTGATCAACATATACTGATTCGTCTCTTTACTGCAATTACTCTGTAGTTCATGATTTGCTCCCGTAGTGGTATAAAATTATAGTTTCTCTTTCAAGCTGGTACTGTGTTTGATATATACTAGTCTTTATCTAAATACCATGTATTGGTATTTCTTGTATGGTTTAGTACATCATCTACTGGTGGTTTAGTTGTATATTGTACAGGACATAGTCCTGATGGTTGCATGTAGTGATAATTCTTTCTTTGCATTAGCTATTTCATATGTTTCAGATGATTTAGATGCATGCTTATACTCCTATCTATACCAGGTGCATGTGTTGTGCTTGTGTACCTGTATACAGAATAGTACCCATGTGTAAGTGGGTGTATGTGTTCTGCTTACAGCAGATGTTTAGTAAATGTGCTATCAATGGCCTATTTCTTCTTGCAGGTTATGGACTATATCTTTTCTTGCCAATTCCCTCTCTCTTAAATCTGATTTGAACAGATGCTACACTGGTCTCTTCACTTTCTTTCTTTCTCTCCTAGTCTCACTGATAAGAACATGTGCTCCTTCATCTTGCCATGCCAATGATGGTGTCCTGAGGCTCTCATCGTTACTTAACAACAGATGCTGCACTACTTGATCCAATGATGCAATAGTCCTAGCACTACTAGGCTGCCTGAGGACAATCCCTACTTCAAACCCTACCTCTGGGCTAGTTGATTAGTAGTGGGTTAGTTGGATTTCATCTGAAAACTAACCCAAGCTTAATTGAGGGACCCCCTAATCATGGAGTTAGTGCTAGTTTGAATTGATCTTTGGGTTTGGCTTTGATCTATACTTTGCTGGCTCTACCTCTGTCTTGGGCTATTGGCTCCATTTATGCAGTGTTGGCTCTCTTCTACTGTTTCTTTGATCAACTTAATCTGATTGGGGTTTGACTAATGTTTCCAAATTCCTAAGTGCTAGCTCCTACAGTAAAGGCATTTTGCTAAGGGGAATGCTGCATTTAAACCTTGATCAAGTTTTTCCTGTTTGTTGTTTCTTGTTTTGCAGGTTGATGAACTGCAAGAAAGAAGCAGAAGATGAAGAACTAGATAGTTTAGTATAGGTTTAGTTTAGGACTTTTTGTTTCTTCTTTTATTTCCTTTTCCTCTAAGTGTAATTCCTGAATGCTTGTAATTGACATTTATATTAATAAAGTCTATTGTTTATTATTCGGACCAAATAATTGTAGTGTTCCATATATTATGAGTATAGTTTCTTTTATTCACTTTTTGCAATATCACTTGTATTATTTCTTCATCAAACAGGGAAGAAAAACTATGCCTACGGCAAAGCCGTCGGCATAGATCAGCCCAGGGCTATCCAGGGCGTGCCACGTGGCAGGCTATGCCTACGGCAAAGCCGTCGGCATAGATCAGCCCAGGGCTATCCAGGGTGTGCCACGTGGCAGGCTATGCCTACGGCAAAGCCGTCGGCATACCTCTGCCACATGTCGTCCCCTGGTTCGTCAGCGCTTTTGACGGCGCCGTCCATTGCCGTCAGGCGGAAAACACTGCCGACGGCTGGCCCACGGCCGTCGGCATACGCTCCTATGCCGACGGCTATACTACGCCGACGGTCTGAGAGAACTACGCTGACGTGATCTACACTGACGGGGCTATGCCGACGGCAGCCGTAGGCATAGATCTATGCCGACGGCACAGGACCTATGCCGACGGCCCTGGGCCGTAGGCATAGCCCGCGAGTCCGGTAGTGCATATATAGACATGAACTATATTTTAGTAAAGAAAATCATCAATACATCGCTTTATGTAAAAAGACGCATATATCTAGTAAAAATGAATATATATTCATGATATTATGGATCCACACATTTGCCTTTTACTGTAGCTTACAAATTAGAATATTTTAAATAAAATTTTACGCACATGTAGAACCCAACTATAGTATGTGGAATGTTTTCAGAGTTTTTGTAACTCCTAACTATAATTCGCATATTTGAAAGGCACGGGGCTCCATGCCTATATACTGAAATGGGTGATTTTGTTTCCAAAATACTACTCCTACGACAAGTCACTATCCCAACAATTTTACTTCCATTCCTTGTTTTCACCGTGCAAATTTTTTTTTTGGCAAATTGCACATTTCATGTGGCAGTCGAACCTCCTTTTTTTCCAAATAACTTTATGTGGTGGAAAATTAAACTTCTCCCCTTCTTCTGGGGTGGTGATTTTGCGTTTTCTGTTTTCTACACTAATATTGTAGACTCAGAAAGGGATTGTATCCGTTTAACTACTTCTCTTTGAAGGCAAGACATAAGTGCTAGAAATTATTCACAATAACTATTTTAATGATTTATATTAGCAGCAGTTCATATGCACGCTTTGTTAAAAAGAAATTCATGATCATATTTTCTACATAAAATCAATCAAAGATTTTTCATTAGAGTCCGCCAAATTATGTGAAAGACAGATGTCTACAAAGCCGTTTAGTCTTCAAACAATTAGCAAGCCGAACCCTTTATAGTCAAATCGACAAAACAAAGTGACATTTGTTTGTAACTTGATGCAACTTGTGTTGGCGCCGCATCCTCACAGCGCCTCTTCTTCTTCCTCTCTCAACTATCTATTGTGGTTCTCTCACAACACAAGAACACACACACACGCGCGCGCGCACACACACACACACACACACAGCTTTGCAAACGGCTTATTGTGGTTCTCTCACATAAACTCACACACACAATGAAGCCACATCTTTTCTCCAGCTCTCACGGCCACTTTTTCGTTGACTCAAAGTGATATTTATACATAGAGGAGGTTTGCCTCACGCATTCACTAGCCAGCCACCATACTCGGCCCCACTAACATCACGTACGTGCACGACCCGGCTAACAGATCCTTGAAACACTCCATGATCTGTACGACCGGCTAAGCAGCTAACATCTTATATGCATCCACCAATAATTAACTGCATAACCAACTCCTGGACTCACTCACGTAGACAACTAACTCAACGACCTGGCCATCTCAGATCACTAACATGCAACGCACACATGCACGTGCACACATGTCAAGATTAATTCCAACAACTTGGACATGTTTCTCTAAATGGCAGCTGAATTTGACAAAATAAATGTTATTTCTTTTCAAATTTAATTTTGAGTAGTGAGTGTAGCGTGTGATGGGTTTGTTGAATTACCTACCAAGCCAGTGTACACACTAAATTGAAGTGAAATAAGTTAGTAACAATGAAATGGATTGTCTGTTGCAGGGAATGAGACATTCGAGAAGCTTGGTACGATTGGGACGTTGTCGAACTTGTTGGTGTACCTGACGACGATATACCACATGCCCAGCGTCAAAGCCGCCACCCTCCTGAATGTCTTCTCCGGCACCAGCAACCTCGCCACGGTCTTTGGTGCCTACATCAGCGACACCTACCTCGGCCGTTACATCATCATCACTGTAGGCACCGTCTCCTCCTTCATCGGCATGCTCATCCTCACCCTCACAGCTGCCCTCCACTCCCTCCACCCTCCGACGTGCAGCTCATCCAAAGTGAAACAATGTCAAGGCCTAACTGACTCCCAGATTGCCGCGCTCTTGGTGTCCTTCTTCTTCCTTGTTGTCGGCGCGGGCGGCATTCGGCCCTGCAACTTGGCCTTCGGGGCCGACCAGTTCGACCCGCGGACCGCCGACGGCCGTCGTGGCATTGCTAGCTTCTTCAACGGGTACTACTTCACCTTCACCATCGCCATTATGATCTCTGCCACCGTCATCATCTACCTCCAGAGCTACGTCAACTGGGCGCTGGGCCTCGCCGTGCCCGCCGCGCTCATGGGCCTCTCATGTGCCGTATTTATCATGGGAACGCGCCTCTATGTTCGTGTTCGGCCCGAGGGCAGCCCATTCACTAGCTTCGCCCAGGTCCTCGTCGCTGCCACTCGCAAGCGCCACCTCCGGCAAGCTCTTGGCGCCGAGGCCGAGTTGTTCGACCCGCCACACAAGAGCAAGCTCGTCTCCAAGTTGGCATACACCAACCAGTTCACATGCCTGGACAAGGCGGCCATGTGGACCCCTAAGGACTTGCTATCTGCTGACGGGAAGACGCCGGTGCACCCGTGGCGGTTGTGCACGGTGCAACAAGTGGAGGAGGTGAAGTGTCTGGCGCGCATCATCCCGGTGTGGTCGGCAGGGATCGTCTACTCTGTGGTGCTCACCCAGTTGGGCACCTACGTCGTGCTCCAGGCGGCGCAGACCGACCGTCGGATCAGTAAATCCAGTGGCTTCCAGATCCCGCAGGGCTCATTCATCATCTTCCAGATGCTAGCCCTCACACTCTGGATCCCCATGTACGACAGGTTCGTGGTGCCGGCACTCCGGCGCTTCACCGGGTGCGAGGGTGGCATCACCCTGCTTGTTAGACTATGTATAGCTTCTGTACCTATGTACGTATATGGTACATATTGTAACACAACCATTATATATAATGAGATAAGCCACCCCTAGAGGGTTGTGCTGGTTCCTCAAAACTTATTGTCTTACATGGTATCACGCTAGGTTACGATCGCTTCCGCTTCTAAACCCTAATACCCGCACCGCCGCCGCAGCCGCCGCCGCCTTCACCGCCGCCACCGCGCCACCGATCGCGCCGCCGCCATGTCGAGCGCCGCCATCATCGGTTCCACTGCTGCGGGCTTCCTCCCGGCCTCTCTTGCGGCTCTGCTCAACCTCCCGCTCGATGCCGTCTCTGTTCCGGCTCCGATCGGGACAAGGAGCATCGGCTCCGTCTTCTCCACGCCGCCGGCGCCCTCGCTTGGGCGTGACCTCGTGGTCCACACCGCGGCGCCGCCGTCCGCTGCGGACTCCGCAGGCGTCGTCCCGTCGCTCCTGCCGCAAGCGGATCACACTGCCCCGCTGGCGGGGTTGGCGGCGTCCGCCCCGGCCGCGGGCCTTGCGGCGTCCGCCCTGGCTGTGGTCCCGCCTCCTCCCGCATCGGCTTCGGTGCCTCCGGCTGCCTCCATGGTGTTTCCACCCCAGGCAGCCTCCTCGATGGGATTGTCTTCGCCGCCGCCGTTTCACTTCGGTCATCTCATCACCATCAAGCTCTCCGCCGACAACTACATCTTCTGGCGTGCGCAGGTTCTCCCGCTCTTGGGGAGTCACTACCTGCTAGGCTACATCGACGGATCGCTTCCCTGCCCACCCGCGCTGGTAGACAGCGTGCACGGTCCGGTCTACAATCCGGCCCATCGCGTCTGGACGGGGCAGGACCAGGCGAACCTCTCCTCCATCCAGGGGTCGCTCTCGCCGGCAGTTGCCGGCCTTGTTGTCTTCGCGAAGACGTCTCATGAGGCCTGGACCATCCTTGAGCGCACCTTTGCAGCGCAGTCCCAGGCTCGTGTCTCTGCACTCCGTCGTCAGCTTGGAGAGTGTCAGAAGCTTGACTCCACTGCCACTGAGTTCTACAACAAGGTCAAGGGCCTCGCCGACACATTGGCCTCCATTGGACAGCCCCTCACCGACTTTGAGTTCAACTCGTTTATTGTCAATGGTCTTGATGAGGAGTATGATGCCTTAGTCGAGATCATCAACGAGCGGGGCAACTCGACACCCATGCTGGCACATGAGGTTTTCTCTCGGCTCCTTCTCACTGAGCAACGGGTCGAGACTCGCCGCACCAGGGGCACTGGCTCCCTCTCGGCCAACGCCGCCACCAAGGGTGGCCGCTCTTCTTCATCACCCCGGTCTCCCTTGGGGCTGCCACCGTCGCCCGCCTCGGCCCCCCCACCTACTGCGACCTTACCGGGGGCTGGCGGTCCACGTGTGTGTCAGCTTTGTGGCCGCGATGGGCACTGGGCCTTCAAGTGTCATAAGCGCTTCCAGCGAAGCTTCCTTGGTCTTGGCAATGACGGCAAAGATACACGCAACAATGCCCGTCAGGTCGCCATGGCTGATCGTCCCGCGCCGCAGAAGAAACAGGGACACACTCAGTCCTACTCCATCGATCCACACTGGTACATGGACTCTGGGGCGACAGAGCATCTAACCAGCGAGATGGGGAAGCTTCACACTCGTGAACCCTATCATGGCTCCGACAAGATCCACACCGCCAATGGAGCAGGTATGCACATCTCTCATATTGGTCAAGCATCTCTTCTCACTAGACATGCCAATAGAAGTCTTCAGCTTCGCAATGTTCTTCGAGTTCCATCTGTGACCCGTAATCTTCTTTCAGTTCCTAAACTCACACGTGGTAATAATGTGCTTTGTGAATTTCACCCTTTTGATCTTTTTATTAAGGATCGGGGCACGAGGGACATTCTTCTTAGTGGGCGGTTGTGCCAGGGCCTCTACCGTCTGGAGCATCCTGGTGTCGCTCATGTTTTCAGTGGAGTTCGGGTCTCTCCGTCACAGTGGAATGCTCGTCTTGGTCACCCGGCCACACCTATTGTCCGTCATATTTTGCGTCGTCATGAGCTTCCTAGTTTGTCTAGTCATAAAGATGTAGCAGTGTGTGATGCTTGTCAGCAGGGGAAGAGTCATCAACTTCCTTTTTCGGAGTCCAGTCGTGAGGTGAAACATCCTTTAGAACTTGTGTTTTCAGATGTATGGGGTCCTGCTCAGACTTCTGTCAGTGGTCATAATTACTATATCAGTTTCGTTGATGCTTATAGTCGCTTTACCTGGCTTTACCTTATTAAACGCAAATCTGATGTGTTTGATATTTTTGTTCAGTTTCAAAAACATGTTGAACGTCTTCTCAAGCACAAAATTGTTCATGTCCAGTCAGACTGGGGGGGGCGAGTATCGCAACCTCAACTCTTTCTTTCAGTCGCTTGGGATAGCTCATCGTTTAGCATGTCCACATACACATCAGCAGAATGGTTCAGTCGAACGTAAGCATCGTCATATTGTTGAAGCTGGTCTTACTCTTTTGCCCCATGCATCTGTTCCGTTTCGGTTTTGGAGTGATGCTTTCACCACTGCATGCTTTCTCATCAACCGTACTCCTACTCGTGTTTTAAACATGAAGACTCCCATTGAGGTTCTCCTTAATGAACAACCTGATTATACCTTTCTCAAGGTATTTGGGTGTGCTTGCTGGCCGCATCTTCGTCCATATAACAAGCGCAAGCTTGAGTTTCATTCTAAGAAGTGTGTTTTTCTTGGCTATAGCTCTCTTCATAAAGGTTACAAATGTCTTCATGTTCCCACTAATCGTGTCTATATATCTCGGGACGTCGTGTTTGATGAGCATGTTTTTCCCTTTGCTAACCTTCCTGTGTCCACTGTCGAACCACCATCCCTGCATTCATCCTCTGTTGCTTCTGACCAATTTGATGATGTTGCATACTCTCCTTTGCTGTTACCTAACCATGATGCAGGAACCGGACGTGGAGCTCGTTTGGAGCTGTTGGAGGATTCACCATCATCATCGTCGTCTTCTGGTGGGCACGTCGATCGCCCTATGTTGCATGGCATCGATTCGCGTGCCCATGCATGGTCACCCGACGAGCCCGTCGCGCCGAGCATCTCCACTGCTCGGTCCGTTTCGCCAGCGGCCGCCGAGTCGCCCGCGGCTCGGCCCGTCACGCCGTCTTCGCCTGCGGCTCGGCCCGTCACGCCGTCTTCGCCCGCGGCTCGGGTCCTCACGTCGCCTTCATCAGCGGATCGGCCCGCGACACCGGCCGCGCCACGGCCCACTATGCCGAGCTCGCCATCGGCCCGGTCTGTGATGCCGGAGTCGCCAGCTGCTTCGTCTGCTCTGCCGGTTTCGCCGGTGGGTCAGCCTTCTTCGCCAACCGAGTCCGAGGCTACCGTGACTGGCTCCTCGTCACCGGCTGACTCGTCAACGTCGTCGTCCTCCAGCCCGTTGCAGGCTGCTCCATCGACCTCGGTGGTTCCTGTGTCCCGACCACATACACGCAGTCGCAGTGGCATTTTCAAACCTAAGGAACGTAAGGATGGTACGGTTGCTTGGTTGGCTGCTTGTTTGGCTGCTGCTGTTGCGGATCCATCTTCTGAGCCTCGCTCATATCAGGCTGCCCTGCGCATTCCACATTGGCGAGAGGCTATGGAGCAGGAGTTTCATGCTCTTCTTCGTAACAAGACATGGACTCTCGTTCCTCCACCATCACGGGTAAATGTTATTGACTCAAAATGGGTATTCAAAGTGAAGAAGCATTCGGATGGATCTATTGAGCGTTACAAAGCGTGACTTGTTGCTCGCGGTTTTCGGCAGCGTCATGGTCTTGACTATGAGGACACCTTCAGTCCTGTCGTCAAGCCTACCACTATTCGGCTTCTTCTCTCCATTGCTGTTTCTCGTGGTTGGTCACTTCGTCAACTTGATGTGCAGAATGCTTTTCTACATGGATTTTTGGAGGAAGAGGTTTATATGAAACAGCCGCCTGGTTTCTCTGATCCTGATCGTCCTGACTATATCTGTCGTCTTTCCAAAGCACTATATGGTTTGAAGCAAGCTCCTCGTGCCTGGCATGCCCGCCTTGCCTCTGCCCTTCGTGCTCATGGGTTTGTGCCGTCTACTGCTGACACTTCGTTATTTCTTCTACAGAAGCCAGAAGTCACTATGTATCTTTTGGTATATGTCGATGATATTATCCTTGTCAGCTCTTCTCAGTATGCTACTGATGCTCTTGTCTGCTCTCTTGGTGCTGATTTTGCGGTCAAAGATCTTGGGAAGCTTCACTACTTTCTTGGAGTTGAGGTCACTTCTCGTGCTACTGGTCTTGTCCTTACGCAGAAGAAGTACTCCTTGGAGTTGTTACAGAGAGCTGGCATGCTGAAGTGCAAACCGACCACCACACCCATGTCGTCTACCGACAAGATAACAGCTGTTGATGGTGAGCTTTTGTCTCCTGCGGATGCCACAGAGTACAGGAGCATTGTTGGTGGACTTCAGTACTTGATGATCACGAGACCAGATATCTCTTATGCTGTTAACAGGGTTTGTCAGTATCTTCAGGCTCCCAGAGATACTCATTGGGCTGCTGTTAAACACATTCTTCGTTATGTTCAGTTCACCCTGACATTTGGTATGCATATTCGGCCGACTTCCTTTCTGGTCCTTTCGGCCTTCTCTGATGCAGATTGGGCTGGTAGCCCAGATGACAGGCGATCCACGGGGGGTTATGCAGTATTCTTTGGCTCTAATTTGATCGCCTGGAGTGCTCGGAAACAGGCTACTGTGTCACGTAGCAGTACTGAAGCTGAGTACAAGGTTGTGGCTAATGCTACTGCAGAGATTATTTGGGTGCAGTCTTTGCTTCAGGAGTTGGGTTTGTCTCAACCACAGCCTCCTATTCTTTGGTGTGATAACATCGGTGCTACATACCTTTCTGCAAATCCAGTATTTCATGCCCGAATGAAACACATTGAAGTTGACTATCACTTTGTACGGGAACGTGTATCACAGAAGCAACTCCAGATCAAGTTTATCTCATCTAAGGATCAACTTGCAGACATCTTCACTAAGCCTTTACCGCTGCCACAGTTTGAGGCTTGTAGGCGCAATCTTACCCTTCTCAGTTCTTTAGAAAGTGGCTAAGATTGAGGGAGGGTGTTAGACTATGTATAGCTTCTGTACCTATGTACGTATATGGTACATATTGTAACACAACCATTATATATAATGAGATAAGCCACCCCTAGAGGGTTGTGCTGGTTCCTCAAAACTTATTGTCTTACACTGCTCCAGCGAATCGGCGTCGGGCTGGTGCTCTCCGTGGTCACGATGCTGGTGTCAGCGGCGGTGGAGCGCCGACGACGAAGGATCGGCTCATTGATGCCGTGGTTTTGGCTGGTGCCACAGCAGTTGCTGGCGGGGCTGTCGGAGGCGTTCGGTGCCATCGGACAGATCGAGTTCTACTACCGGCAGTTCCCGGAGAACATGCGGAGCGTGGCGGGGGCGGTCAGCTTCCTGGGGATCGCGGTGGCGAGCTACGCGAGCGGTCTGATGGTGACGGTGGTGCACAGGGCAACGCGACGGCGGGACGGGCGGCCGGACTGGCTGGCTCAAGACTTAGACGAGGGCAGGGTGGACCTATTCTACCTTGTCAAGGCCGCCCTCGCCGGAGTGAACGTCGTCTACTTCGTGGCATGCGCGAGGTGGTACAAATTCAAGAGGTCTGGTGAGGATGCCCTCGCCAGTGATGACGTCGACCTCGATGAAAGCCCCGAGAAGGCTGCGAATAATATGACGCCGGTTTAGATTAGTGCGTGATGATTATAGTAGTATTACGTAACTCGGATGCATGCATAGATCGTTAGGTTAATGGAAATGTATATGCTATATGTGTATGATCGATCATTGATCCTAGTGATGTTGGGTGTGCTTTGCTCCGCGATGGTGTCGTTGGGTTTTCATATTTTTCTTTTTACTTCCTTTATCTCAGAATATAAGTCATATTAGTTTTAGAAAATGACAAACATCTTTAAGTTTGCCAATTTGTAGAGAAATATATCAATATTCAGAATATCAAATATGTATTATTAGATTCATCATCAAATGATTCTTCATATTTTATTTATTTAGTATTGCGATCGATAATTTTTAGCTCTGAACTTGGTCAAAATTAACAGAATTTGACTTTCAAGAACAAATACACACTATATTTTAGAATTGAAACGGAACCAACCATTCATGCATAAAAGTTGGCCGCTACATATCTATTTTTTTTTTAGAGACACGGTCACTACACGCACCTCATAGTCGACTTCTACTTAAAAATTGCAACATAAATTTTTAATAAAAATTAAGAAAAATGTGAGCATCTATGCCAGGTCTTGAACTTAAACCCGGGTGGATAGGTTCGACCACAAGAAACATAACCAACCGAGTTACGCTAAGTTCACGGTTGCCTGTATATATTAATGCGTCTATCGTACTATCGTACATACATGTACCATTTAATCCATCGTCCATCCATCACTCAATATATAGTATTACTGTTTTAGAATATACTCCCTCTGTCTCAACAAAAGTGCCACTGATTTAATACAAAATTCTACTAACTTTGTACTAAATTAATGACACTTATTTTGGGACGGAGGGAGTAGTTGGTCAAACATTTTTACAACAACAAGCAATTGTTATTTTTGCTAGTTATAATTTCAGATGGAAGGTTCCCACATTTTGCAAAGACATCCTAACATTTTTTAACATATAATGCAAAACAGAACTTATATGTATACAACAAATACCCAATCAATGCAACATTCAAAAACATACGAACTTGATAATTTATGACATACACATAATTTATACAGCAAACACAAAATCATCACAACATACCATCTATATATGTATCTGTAACATTTTATGCAGTTTACAAAATAACCAACTAGAACACTACAACTTGTTCCAGTACAGAATCAATTCAGACTGACCTAACAAAAATTTAAAGTACGGCTATATAAATACCACACACCAAGATTAGATATAGGAATTCAACTTAGGAGAACCATTATGGTCCCAAAAAAATACCAAACTTGCCGGTGGGGAGTTTGGCCGAACTTATTTTGCATATGTGACGATGATGGGGATTGAACCAAGTTTATATGACGGCCCGTTGTTTATTCTTCGTTTGAAATCTCTCCTAAACTAATTATGCATTATAGTGGCAAACAAACCAGCAATGCATGCACACATGTAGAGAAACACATAACAAATAAGTGATCAATAACGGACTTGAATAATTGTGACCAAATTTAGGCTCGCCGGGTTTGGATATGAATTTCTTAATTACCGACGTTGAAACCACAGTGAGGAGAGCACCATGCTTGTGATGGACGTTGCATATTTCCAAATATCTAGACAACTAGTAATACTCTAGGCGTGACTATATTTGACTTGAACAAGAAATATTTTTTAGATTGTTGCAGGAGGGGGGGGGGGGCTATGCCCCCCTCACACTTCTATGAACATGAAACCAAGATTACAAATATGAAGTGAAAATGTAACAGTTTTGGCCATACTAGGCTCCGCATGTTTCCCCAACACCACTTTAACAAAATGTAACCGTTTGCGACAAAGAGGGATATAGCTGACTAGACGATTCTTGGAAGATTCGGTATTAGGATTAAGAGACGGCATAGTCTAGTAATACAGCGACGAGTGGAGGTACACGAAGGATGAGTAGCACAACTAGAAGGCTACAAAATGCCATTGATGATGTGCGTATTTGAGACACCACGAAAGGTAGACTAATGATTAAAACCGCTAGGGCAATTGCCCGTGCATTGCAATGAAATTAATATGATAATGCACCAAAAGAGAAGATTAAACTATTGAATGAATCAACATTCATTGGCTTACCAAAGAAAACATGATTTTATTCGGTAAGTCAATAAGATGATGGGCAATTGAGAGAATTTTCATAAAAACGGTGGGGGGTGGGGGGGCAGATGGCGCCTTCTTCTTTATGTTATGTTTCTGTGTTTGTATTCTTGTACTTTATATTGAGTAACTTATTTATTTATTTTCTCATTTCCGCCGCATAACAAAATGAATAGAGCAAAGTGTCATTTTGGTGCCTCAACTTATCATGAATTGTGGCTTGTCCGTAAACATTATTTTGTGCAACTTTCGCACGACAACTCTTAATATCAGGTAAATTTAGTCCCCAATGGTGGCATACCTCGGTCAAACCCGTTTTTGACTTCATGACATGGCACCGCTTTAGCAGGTGGCGTAGGCCTACATGTCACTGAGATAATCTCCCCCCCCCCCCAACACACAATGCCGAGTGGGTGTGCCCAAAAGAAAGAAGGGATTGGGGATATAATAATATGAAAAAGAAAAAGAATTAGGTGTCTCATAGACAAATGGTAGGAAAAATAAAGATTGCGGTTTTATAGTCTGACATAGCAGTCCACTCTAAAGCCTCTAAAAATGTTTTTAGATGGCCCTCCCAAATTATTATGCAGTGCTGGAGTTACGTGTATAGTACTACTCGTTCGTATCCGTGCTGATGGGCCTCCACTCCTCCTACTAGCACTAGTAGAAAACAGGGCTTTGGTTCGGCCCTGGCCAGCCCATTAGTCCCGGTTCTTCACAAACCGGGACCCATGGGGGGCACTAGTCCCGGTTCATGAGCCCAGGAGGGCCGGCCGGGGCCTCATGGGCATTGGTCCCGGTTTGTCTGGATCCATTTGTCCCGGTACTAGGCACGAACCGGGACCAATGGTCCTCGCTCCTCGCCCACAACCATTGGTTCCGATTCATGGCTTGAACCGGGACAGATTGCCGGGCTTTAGTCCCGGTTTCTACCATGAATCGGGACAAATGAGTTGCCTATATATACCCCATCGTCTCAGCAGAGCACTCCACAGTGCTCTGTTTTTTCTGGCTGGCAAGGGGTGGGCATTTGGGTGCTCTAGCTCACCTCCTATGCACATGAGGTGTTCGATGAAATGTACGAGCCACACTAGTTAATCTTTCTCCTCTTGAAACTCGACCTCCGAGCTCCATTTTCCCCGAGATTTGTCTAGGTTTAGCGGTCCGTCACGTCCCTTCCCCGTCTTCACCGCCGTCGATCGCCCGTGCCGATCTCGTCGCCGGCACCACCATGGTGAGCCTCTTGTTCTTATCTTCTTTTTGAAAGAAAGAAAAATTCTTACTTCAGATAGATACTTGTCTAATTTTCTTACTTTTATTATTCCTTGTTATTATATAGTGCGATGGTTTTGGTATCCGCCCCCGTCGGCCCTCGTCCTGTCTATGATTCAGATGTGGTATATATTACCTTTTGATAACTATTTGGTTCATTTATTGTTTATGACAATTATGCTGACCAACGTGACATAGCTTTTATTTATCTAGGAGGTTGTTGGACCGGAAATTCCAACCGACCCTATTGTCGAGAGGTTAAATTTAGTTGAAGAAGAAAACAATTACTTGAAGGAAAAAATAAGAAAATTTGAGGAGGAGAAGATGATATTGGAGTTGCATGTTGGGGATGTCATCGATGATCACAAGATCAAGATGGATGCAATGCGGTTGAAGATTAAAAAGATTAGAAAATATGTCATTCATACCGAGGTTTGGTATCATTATACAGTTGGATCAGTTGATACCTTGGTTGCGATTATGATCACATTTGTTGTTGCATTGAAATGTTTTACATAATTTTACTGTATGGTTTAATTAGATGCTCTGGAGTGCTATATGTTGTTCAATGAGAACTATGTATGTACTTTGGTTCTAGTGTCATGATGAACTTATATTAATTTGGTCACTTGTCTATTCATGAGATCAGGGTTGAAAATTGATGATGTGGCTTTGAATGGTGCATTTGTAACAAACGAGTTTCTGTATGAAACCCTGATACTTCGAAAGAGATTGTTCGTTTTATACACGAAGTGCATCTAATTTTTGTCGTAACACTCTCTACTTTCTTGCACATGCTATCTGGGTGAAATGCTGATACCATGCCAACTTTCAACCTTTTCAGACTTCATTTCAAATGCTTTTCAATTTCATGGTCTTATAGCTCAAAATAATCAGCAGATGCTTGAAAAATAACAAATGAAGTCAGAAATGGTTGAAAATTGGTGATGTGGCTTTGAATGATGCATTTTGAACACAGAAAAACTATGGAGTTCAAATAAGTTCAAAAAAGTGAAATCCCTTTGTAACAGACGAGTTTCCGTATGAATCTCTGATACTTCGAAAGAGATTGCCCGTTTTGTACACGAAGTGCATCCAGTTTTTGCCATAACCCTCTCTACTTTCTTGCACATGCTATGTGGGTGAAATGATGATACCATGCCAACTTTCAACCTTTTCAGAGTTCATTTCAAATGCTTTTCAATTTCATGGTTGGTACGTCTCCAACGTATCTATAATTTATGAAGCATTCATGCTATTTTATTATCTGTTTTGAATGATTACGGGCTTTATTATACACTTTTATATTACTTTTGGGACTAACCTATTAACCGGTGGCCCAGCCCATATTGCTGTTTTATTGCCTGTTTCAGTATTTCGACGAAAAGGAATATCAAATGGAGTCCAAACGGAATGAAACCTTTGGGAGCGTGATTTTTGGAAAAGATATGATCCGGGAGACTTGGAGTTCAAGCCAGGGAAGGTTCGAGGAAGCCAAGAGATAGGAGGATGCGCCCACCCCCCTGGGCCCCCTCGAGCACCCCCCGACCGACCTCCTTCGCCTATATATTCCCATATACCCTAAAACCATTGATAACGAA